GCTTGGTTCATTTAGATTGGGCGCTGCGGACAGTCGACAAGCTTACCTGTCGACACAACTCTCCCCGGAGACGCTGTCAGCTACGCGTCGGATGTTATTTCGTTCCGGGTAGTGGAGGAGAACACCATGGCTGCGTTGGTACAGACAATCCCCCAGCAAAGTGGCACGGTTTCTGTGCTTCAAACCCGACCATCCTCTTCTTCGGGAACCTTCACAACTTCCTCGCAACCCGGGCAACAGCAAAATCCGCGGAACTCGACGATGTCCTGGAACCCCTATAACAACAACGGCAGTTCGGGAAACTACAGAGTGGGCCACCAGGTCGTGGCCCCCTACGCCTTCACCAGCACCCCAAACTCCTCGAATTCAACCAACATGCAAGCCCGTCAGTCACTGTCCCCTCATCTGAGGCCAGAGCATCGCACATCTTCAGCCCCTTCGGTGCCTCAGGGGTCTGCAAGTCCCGCCAACGTCGGAGTCAACTCGCGTTTCGCCCATCCTGCAGCTGGTTCTGTATCCACTTCTTCCTCCAATTCCTCCGTCCATTCCTACATGTCGAAAGACGACTCGGCGATTCCGACCAGACAAATACGTACCGATGCTCCCTTGCGCCCGCTCTCCACAGTTAACCTTCCTTCACCCTCCTCTTCGAATTTCATGAACATATCCTCACCAACTGTGGCCCGTCCGTCCCCCGACCGCTATCGTCGTGGAAACCGGCGACCGGAAAATGCTGCGGGCACCCAGCCCGCTTCCACGCAGCCCAACGGACCGGCACCTGCACGTTCTGCAACGTTAGCCACAGACGACAGTGCCCTCCACATGAGTACTCCCAGCCTTGCGGGTGTGTCTCTGGATGCCCCCCGCCGCATTGGGCATGTCCGCGTGCCCAGTGCTGATGATACTACGCGCGCAGATAAGCCTCAGACAGAGTTAGCCAAGAGGTATAGGCGCCGGAGCTGGGGAAACATTGATAACGCTGGTCTCATCAATATGCAGCTACACTTGCCCACATCATCGCCGACGCCGACAGCAGGTGGCCATGACTACTTCGATCAGAGCACGCGGCCCCGATCGGCACAGTCTCATAAAGAAGTCCAGGGAAGCATTCCGTCCGCCCATTCTTCGACTTCATCTGTACGTGATGCAGGACACAGCGAATCTGCATCATCCTCCAGTAAGAGCGGTCCCAAGACCGATGACGGCAAGCGACCGAACAAACCCTCACCGCTGTCTCAGCCGGTCGAGGTTGACTCCAAGCCCCCGACTCCCAAAGCATCCCAGCCTTCCACAACGCCGAACCCTGCTCCTACGGAGAGCCTCGCTTCCCAACGTCTTGCCGAAATAACAAAGGGCGACCCTAAGCGACCAGGGAAATCCAGGCTGAGGAGGGCCTTTTCGTTCGGTAGCGCATCAGAGCTCCTCAAAGCTTCCTCGCAAAACAAAAGGGAAGCGATGGCTGCGGAGAGGGCTCGCAGGGAATTGCTGCAAGAGGAATTGGGCCCAGAACAGGCAGCCATAGCCGAACAACAGGAAGCGAGCGGCCTGGGCGAGAGCATTTACTCATCACATCACCAAGGTCGTATATTCAACAGCTCCACCGACAATCTTTCCGTTTCATCGACAGCCTCCTCGGCCTCTATTATGCTTCGCAAGATGGGCAAGGGAATGAAACGATCGACGCGATCATTGGTGGGGCTTTTCCGTCCGAAGTCGGTAGTGAGCACATCTTCGACCGATGGTGTAATGATTCAGCCCATGGCACCCCAGCTGTCCGTGGTCAACATCGAAGCGGAGAGGAAAAGTACAGCCGTCACCTCAGACTCGCAAGACCATCATCTTGGTAACACGTTGTTCTCTAAGGTGGAAACCGATGCAGCGAACGCCGTGAGCCATGAAGATGGTGCCTTGGACAAGTCGCGTAAAAGCATTGTCGGAGGAGACAGGGAGCGAGCGGAGGTTCTGGCAGCCGTGAGGAAGGGCATACTGAAGAGTACGTCTTGGTTACCATGAAATGATCCTTGCTTGTGATATGTCTCGTACTAACGTCCCATTTAGAGACCTACTCGGACCCGGCTAACCAGACATATGTGCTCAAATCGTCCGAAAACTTGAACGGCAATGACTCACCGCATTCTAGCGTTCCCAGCACTCCTGAAGACCAGACACGGTCAGGCAATCGGCGAACCGATGCGGTTAAAATTGCCGGCGAGGATGATTATCTCTCAGAAGGGCGGTTCCAGACCTCTGAATCTAAGAGCGCGCCTATTACTCCACAAGCTGTGATGCCGAAAAGTCTGGTGTTCAGTCCCCGGATCCAGTTTCACGAGACATGGCCGAGCGGGGAGTACGATCGACGCGGTGACATCGCCACGTGCAACCGGTTGACTCCCCTCCTTGCCCAACAAATCAAGGAGGAGCTGAACAATTTCAAAATGGTGAGGAACTCGTCCTTACTAGCCCCCTTTCTAAAGTGAAGTCGATTGAGTGCTAACTATGCCGCAGGAGATGGAGGTCCACGAGACGTCAAAAATTTATACTCACTTTCTCTGAGCCGCTGCATTTCGAATGGCGTTCTTATTGCGTGTCTTGTGTTATTTACCCTTAGGAGGAGTGTTGGATCTATCAACGGCATGGTATTGAGCCTTGGTGGCTTCTAGACCTGTTTCCTTTTCGCTAGAGAGTCTTTTGGTTTCCGTCTTCAGTCTCATGCTGACTCGGTGTCTAATTGTCCGTCGAGTGTACGGACGTGACCGGGTCGCCCCTTTGTTGTGTTTTTTCATTTTTTGCTATGCGTTCTGGGAGTTATGGCGACAGCAACATTCAGGTCTTGGTCTTGTGTCGTGTTCTTCCGTTATTCTGCGCATGAAGATTTATGGGGATTCTACTACAGCAAATGAAGAATAGTGGATCGGCTAAGGGAGGCATCGCCTATGGCCCGGTTCCGGATCATTTGGCTTCGATCTACGTCGCACCCAGGATTTGGGCACCGATTTACTTTTTGCGCTTCCTTTCTCCCTCGGCAGCCTGTCACAGCTCGTGCTTTTCGCTTCCTCTTTAATCGTCTTCCTTTCTCTCTCGAGCCCCGATTCCTGGCCGACCACTGCATGCAAGCCACACCGTCTCTTTGAAGTCTCGTTTTGTTCTGCAAGCGTGAAAATTGGGCAGCATCTCTTTGCACATTGTCTCATAGTGTTCATTGTGAAACGTTCTTTTGCTTTTTTCTATTTCCTGCAAGCACCGATCCTTTTTGTCGACGTGTTGTCTGTGTACAGCTTTCTGAGACCGGTACACAAGTGAATGTCTCGCAGCATCATCATCCATCATCAAAGCATTGACTGGCAATATCAATGCAATTTTTTTCTTCTCCGCCCGACCTTACGCAATGCTTCCTTGGGACTACATACAGCTGGATTTTATAGTTTTGAGGAGAATTGTCTGGCAAGTCAGCAGACATCGGTCGTAGGTCGTAGAAGTGTATCCCGATGGATTCGAAACCGCGTAGCTCTCGAGCCTCTGAACAATTCCATTATGATCTGGCTCTGTCAGACTTAGAGAGAGGGATGGAGGGAGACAGTGTAGTTCTGCTTCAGACCATAGCCACCGTATTATTCATTCAAAGAATAGAATAGAGTAAAAGAAAGAAGAAAAAAAGGGAAAAAAAAAAGAAGTAAAACCAGAAGGAGATGACAGCGACAGCCACTTGATAAATAAGCCCTTCAAGCGAGAGATGGAAGGAAAGCTAGGTAACTAATTAACTAACTAACCCCCACGCTTTCATCTACAACGGAAAGCGTATGAGTGGATGAACATGCAAACCCGGCCCCGGTCCCGATAGTAGGTACCACGCGAGAGATCCCGAGGGTAAAAGCCCAATGGGACGAGAAATGAATAATCGGGAAAGAAGGAGAAAGAAGGAAATTAATATACAAAAAAAAAGAAGGGAAAGGAAAAAGAAAAAGTCTCTGCGGCATCAGCTGCCACATGTTGTTGCCGGGGTTCAGGTTAGTTAGTTAGGGGGAAACACATGCTTGGCAAATCGAGTATTTTGCCGAGGGGTGGACCTGGACCCAGGGGATGATGACCTTCTTCTGCTTAGTTGGGTACTTTACTTGACTATTCGGGTGGAATCTTTAGTTTGAAGAGGTACTTATTTACAGAGTAGTAGAGTATCTATGGGGTTGGCTTGGGGTACGGGAGGAGTAGGAGGTATTCGGGTGAAATGTAGATAGATGTAGACTCGGCCTGCTACTAGTAGATAGACTTGTTATGGGATCCCGATGGATGGGGTACATACGAAGTAGCTACTGCTTGGTTGTTCCAACCGGGTAGTACTTTTGTGAACCATGGGTTGGCTGGTTACTGCTTACCCTTCATGGCCTGATCTGTGTGTGTGTGTGCGTGCGTGCGTGTGGCGTTGGGGAATGAATATTCTCCATTATTTTCCTCCTTCGGGGGCGGGGAGCAGACGGGGGGCCCGAATAGATGATCTAGCCGGCATGTGCGATATAAGCCCGTGTCGCTAAGCCAGCAAGGAAGTAATCCCTCTTTCCCAATGGCCATGGCTGGCCTCTTCTTCTCGATGAATGTCGGGTCCATCCGCCGGTAAACCCTCCAACCTACCTTCGATGACGAAGATGGGCTTTTTGCTGACTGACCTGATGATCAATCAAACCAGCGGTGACTCTCGTGCGTGAAGGAAGGGGAAGAGGGGGGTGGTATTCCCGTATGACCAACCAATATCCACCGTGGTGGAGTTGCATCCATCCATCAGGAAGTACGGAGTATATGATTGATGATTGATCCTTTGGAAAAATACCGGTTGAAGCCAGAGCCGGGGTTGAGGGTAGGGATCTTCCGCCTGGGGTCGACACCGTGAGAGCGAGCTTTTTTGTTTTTTTTTCGGGCCGGTGTTCCTTGGCACCGTCCAGGTTGGTTTAAGTTTTTCTCGGGGAATTGGCTCGGTCTGGGGTTGAGGATTGCGGGATGGTTGTGGATGACTGTAGATGCCTTGCAGTTTTCTTGTTACTCAGAGAAATGTAGACATTTTGAACTAGAATTGCAGAAATTCCTCTTGTTTGCAAAGAGTAGAAATTAGATCTTACCCGATGGATAAATGTATCTCTTCTTTTCTCGGGGATTTGAGATGAAGAAGAGATGCAGAGGTGTGTCTTGTGGAGTGAAGAGAAAGAGAAAAGTGGAGAGAGGAAGAGGACCCTCGCTCGGGAACCCCCACGGAATACTTACTGATGGCCTCCCACGCTCTTCTCTACCCTCTTTCTCTCTCTCTCTCTCTCTCTCTCTGTCTACTCCATACTACAGCAACATCATCATCATCATCATCTTCCTCTTCTTAATATTTCACCCCCACGCCAGTCGTCCCTCTCCACAAATGGCATCCCACCAGTCCCGACGGTTTCCCCTAATGATCCTGATCTCATCTCCAGACTCTTTCCCCGCTTCCGTCTTCCCCATTGGCGGGGTTGGCTGTTTCTAGTCTTCTACCATGTCTTCATTCCCGATCCCCATTGCCATTGCGGCTTCTCTTCCCCGTCTGTCTCCCCATCCTTCGGGAACCTCGTCGGGTCGTCATCGCTCGGTTCTCTACTCTTTGACCACATCAAAAAGGTCCCCTGGTCCCGACTGCAGCTGGCACCATGGTCCCGTGGTTTACTCTACTACTCCTCCCTTTCTCCCTCTCCTCTTCCTAATTTTTCCTATCTCTTGATCCCCTCGCCCTCCCCTTACTTGACCGTTCCCCCCCTCTCCTGTTGATCCATTCCTCCTCCTCCTCTTCTTCTTCTCACGTTGTCGTTGTCATTGTCATTGTTCCCTCTCTTCTGCCTCATAGAAGGCCAGTGTCAGACCATCGGAGACAATCATGTCCCCCAGAACTTCTCATGATGTCGAACGGGACTTCGACAAGAGCCATGTCGACAACGTCGAGATCGTGACCGATGGAGTAGCCAATGCCGATAAACCAAACCCCAAGAAAGAGGCCCCGGCCTATGTGGCCAGTCTCTCCCCCGAGGAGCGCGAGAGGGCCGAGAAGGCCCTGGTCCGCAAGATTGACCTGCGTCTCCTGCCCATGATCATCATCATGTACATTCTTAACTATCTGGACCGGAATAACATCGTAAGTGGAATGCTTCAGCTTGTCCATATAATCAACTCTGTGCTCACTATTCTGTCTACTATCAGGCTGCTGCCAAACTCGCTGGTCTCGTCACCGACTTGAACTTGCAGGGTGTGGAATACCAGACCTGTGTCAGTATCCTGTTCGTGGGTTATCTGTTGATGCAAAGTAGGTGCAGACCTCTATTGGTAGAATAGCAGATACTGATCGTGCCAGTTCCCTCCAATTTGCTCCTGAACAAGTTCGGAAAGCCTGCCCTCTACCTTCCGGGTGCTATGATGCTATGGGGTATTATCTCTACGTGCACGGCGGGAGCTCAGAACTATGCCGGCTTGGTTGTAGTTCGCTTCTTCCTCGGTTTTGTTGAAGCTGCTTACTTCGTACGTCTGCCTGAAAGGAAAGAAATATCTACCGAAGCGCCTTACTGACTTCTACTTTCCCCCTTCAGCCTGGCTGTCTTTACTTCCTTAGTGCCTGGTACACTCGCAAGGAACTCGGCTTCCGCACGGCAGCCCTCTACTCGGGTTCCCTGATTTCAGGAGCCTTCTCTGGACTTATTGCCGCTGGTATCACCGAGAACATGGACTACAAGATGGGTCTTCGTGCTTGGTTAGTTCCATAGTAAAGACTTGAGACGTGGACATCGCTGACTTGAGAGTAACAGGCGCTGGCTTTTCATCATCGAGGGTGCAATCACCATCGTTGTTGCCGCCATCTCCATCTTCATTCTGCCCAACTTTCCCAGAACCACCAGTTGGCTCAGCGAAGAAGAGAAGCAGCTGGCCGCTTGGCGGCTGGAGGAAGACATCGGTGAGGACGACTGGGTGGATAGTGAACAACAAACCTTCCTCCACGGTGTGCAATTGGCCTTTACCGATATCAAGACCTGGATTCTTGTAAGTACCCAGTCACAAAGTCATTGCCCTTCTCTCCGCTTACACATATAGATGCTGCTCATCTTGTGCATCGTCTCCTCTGCCTCTGTCACAAACTTCTTCCCCACCGTCGTCAAGACCCTCAACTACGGCAACATCGAAACGCTTCTGCTCACCGCTCCCCCATACGTTCTGGCTGTCATCTGTGCCTTTGCTAATGCCTGGCATGCCGATCGTACTGGCGAGCGTTACTTCCACATCACCCTACCCCTATACATCTCTGTAGCGGCTTTCATCCTCGCTGCCACCACCACCAGCACCGCTCCCCGTTATGTCTCTATGATGCTGATGGTTCCATCCCTGTACACCGGCTACGTGGTAGCCCTGGGCTGGATCTCAAGCACCCTCCCCCGTCCGGCCTCGAAGCGTGCTGCAGCTCTGGCAGGTATCAACTGCGTCAGTAATGCCAGTAGTATCTATGCCAGTTACATGTACCCGGACAGTGATGCACCGCGATTCGGTAAGTACCCTCATCCACTTACCTTCTCCCAAAAACAAGCCACTAACAATAACTCTAGTGACCGCTATGACCGTCAACTGTGTCACCGCCTTCGTAGCCATCCTGTCCGCAACTGCCCTCCGCTTCATCCTCGTCCGGCTGAACAAGAAGCTCGATCGGGGCGAGGGCCTGGGCGATGGCGGAGGTGTCCCTGGCCAGGCCAGCTCCAGGGGCTTCCGTTTCTTGGTTTAGAATTAGATTGTTTTGTGTTACGACATCGGATTGTTATGGGTTGCTTTATATACCCCAAGCGGGTTATGGTTATGGTTATGGTTTTGGTAAATATTTGCACACAGCATTCTTATAAGATTTTGGGTCATCTAGTTGGCTGGCTAGTATCATGACGGAGTATGCACGATGCACGATGCATGATGCATTATGATGTGTTATTATACCTATCTATTATTTGGGTATTGAATGAAGACATGATCTGAATATAAAATGTGATTTTTGACTACAACGACATACCACCAAACACAGCTGCCAGGAACCCAAAACACCTTTCCCCTATCCCACCAGAACATTTCAAGACCCCTCGATCTAAAACCCAAAGCTTACATGAAAATAAAGATACAACATGATAGAAATCATGAATTGAACTAAAACTAACACACAACAAAAACCTCAACAATCCCTTTTTCTACCTACACCACCCTAAACCTCTCTCTACATCATTCAAGCAAACTTCAACCTCTCGACACTCCACCCCGGCCTCAACCCTGCAGTCTCCAACCCAGCCACATCCAACGAACTATCCGCCACATAATTCACCTTCCAATCAACCGTAATCTCCGCCCCATCCTCCGTCTGCGCCCACACCGCCACCCCAATCGTATTCACCCCACTGTAATCCAACACTCCCACGGGAACCGGGAACACCACCTGGTTGCCGATATACGGATTAAACCGTCCGTACTGGTATCCGTTCACGAATAACTGCGCGCGGTACGCATTCGGTGCGTTGTCTGGTGTGCCCAGTACGAATGAGATGGAGACGTCCAGGCCTCGTGGGATGTCTAAGGGGATGGTGGCGCGGAAGAATTTTACGGTTGCGCCGGTGAAGGATAGGCTTGATGATGATACACTGGGCCATGTGCTGTCGTCGAACCCGGGCAGATGCCATCCGACTCGCTCTGCGTAGAGCCCGTCTTCGTTCCAGGCCCCGCGGACGGGGTCGAGGTTGGATTCACCGCCGGCGGTGCCGGCGAGACGCCAGTGGGTGAATTCGGGGGAAGTGGTGTTGTCGGTGGTGGTGGAGGTGGAGGGGAGGAGGCGCGCTTCGAGGATGCCGCGTGGGTTGAGGGCGCCGGTGGTTTCGTCGTGGCCGGTGTCGTCGTGGATTATTAGGAGGGTGTTTTGGGTGGCTTGGTGGGTGATGTTGGTTGGGAAGACGAAGGTTTGGTTGGCTTGTTCGATGGAGGCGTTGCCGAGGTAGGAGCCTAGGAAGTGGCCGTTTAGGTAGGCAGAGAAACCGCTGGTTTTGTTGTTAAATGGGGGTGGTTGTTTGTAGGTGGATGGGGGAAGGGGAAGGAAGGGCTTACAATGCGCTGCCTCCTTGGACGTTCAGGAAGACTCCGCTGGCGGTGCCGTTGAAGTAGCCGCGCCAGAGACGGACGCCGTTGTGGAAGCCTAGGGTGGATATATATTAGGTTTGTTTGTTAGGTATAGAGGAAGAGGGTAGGCGTACCGTATTCGTCAGCGTATAGGACGGGCAGCGTGGCGGGCTTGCTGGGGTTGGCGGTTGTCATGTGGTTTGCATCTGGGATAGATGTTAGTATCGGGTTGAAGAAGTTGAAGTGAAGAATGTACTGACCAACCCACGCCGGACCGGAGGCATCGTATGTCGGAAGTCGCTCCGGCAGGCTGTCGTTGACTTTCCAGGAAGTGAAAGCTGGCAGTTGAATAGATACAGGCGCAGCGATAGTGGCCTTGAGGCTACCGTATGAGGACTTGGATGTCTTCAGCTGCTTGCCGTTCCATGTGACGGTTTTGACATCGCTAGGCGCGAAGATTTCCACAGCTGTTTCATTGATGGAGTCGCCCTTGATTGCAAGAGTTGATTTCTCCAGACTAGCGGAGCGAACAAGATACGGGCCTTGGATGAGAACTACTCGTAGGTTAGCTCGTTACTCTGAATATCAGGAGTCTGTTTTGTTTTCTTACCCGCTTCGTCCTCCGGAACAAGAGGGTCCTCTGTTAGAGCAGGGGCCCAGAACTCGTATGCTGCGGTCCTGTCCAGTAGGATCACTCGAATGTCGTTGTCGATCTGAACGACACTCATTCCCTGGGCCTGAGTAAATCCGACGACAAGGTTACCTCCCTGTTGGTGGAAGTTGATCGCAGAGCAGTCTTGACACTTTGATACAACAGACCCGGATTTTGCGCCCTTCACTGCGAACTCTCCAGACTCGCCTGTGGGAACCCAAAGGACGAGGGTGGGCTTCTTATCCAAAACAGCGTAAGTGAGGACTTCGGCAGTAGAATACAGAAGGGTCTCTGACCCGAAGGTGAAATCGGTAACAATAATCTTGGATTGATGGCCATTGAGACGGATTGAGCCTCCGAGTCTGGGAATGATGAGGTTGCCCGCTGACGTGTTGACGTGCAGGCTGAACGCCTCGTTAGTGCCGACAGTCGAGTCCTCGTGAAGCGTGACGTAGAATCCAGCGTTGGTTGTAGGGTTCCGCAGTTCGTATGCTTTGACAGCAGTGTTGTTGGTGTATTGCGTTCCGTTACCGATGAGGTCGGTCATTGTCAGGTCTCGTGCACTGCGCGTGAACAATGAGAGCAGCTTGGTCTCATAATACTTGGATGAGATGGATCGGTCTTCGGAGATAGGGGAGGAGTAGTCGTAGCTAGTAGCTGTGACAGGCGCAGCAATCGCTCCCCAGTTCGTTCCTCCATACAACATGTAGAGACTCATGGCTGTGACTCTCTGGGCGATGTTCCACCGGTAGAAAAGATTGACAAAGTCCACTCCAGTATCGTCGCCGCAGCCACCTTCAGGTCCAGCCCAGGGGTTGTATGAGCCGCCCTGGAATTCAGGCATGAAAGACGGCATTGTCGGCGAAAAGTCGAGGAAATAGTCATAGTATTCGACAACCTGGTAGGCTACATAC